ATGCACTGGGCCTCTATCCTATACAATAAAAGGGTGATATGCAAATTGACCCTAACGGCAGAATGACCAGAACGACCACTCGACCAGTCACTATGAGGCACACTGACCACTTCTTAGTCCTTTTCCCGGCCAGCAGGCTCTGATCACCCAATGGCAAACAGGGAACCGGGGGTGGGGGGCGGGGCCAGCTGCAGGCAGCCAGGGAAAGTGGCCTATCGCAGGCCAGGCCTAGGGACCATACCCGTGCACCGATTTTGTGCACCAGGCCTCTGGTGTATAGCTCTTGGTGCTTTATATACGTCCACACATATATGCAGTATGGTCCGTCTGCATTGTCCACTGATTGCGTGTTTGGGAACTTGCCTGCTTGCTGAAATCTATCTGCAATCCAACATCCATACTGTCACTCGGACATGGCGTGTGCACAGCAGCAAAGCAGTGGTGTGGGCCGCTGTGCGTGCTCCCGGCTGAGGCTGAGGCGGCGACGCTCTGCCTTCCCGTTCCGGCTCTTGTGCTCAGAGCAAGCGCCTTTTCCGTGCTCTCGTCCCCGCCACGTTGGTCTTGGCGTGTGTGTGCTTTCTGTCAGCCATTGCCCGAGGTGCGGTCCGTTCCCAAGCCCAGGAGGGCCGGGCCGGGCCTCACGGAGAAACACGCGTGTTCGGTGAGCTTCACTCAGGCGTGAGCTGTGGCACCGCTGGCCATGAGGTCGCTGGTCCCAAATCCACATACGTTAAAGGAGGTGTCTTCCAACAGGCGCCTGACACTCGGCCTCCCCTGGAACCGTGGTCGGCAAACCGCGGCTCCAGAGCCACAGGCGGCTCTTTGGCCCCTTTGCATGTGGCTCTTCCACAAAATACCACGGCCTGGGTGAGTCTATGTTGAAGAAGTGGCATTCGAAGAAGTTTAAGTTTAAAAAATGTAGCTCTCCGAAGAAATGTCCGTCGTCGTCCTGTTGATGTTTGGCTCTGTGGGCTAATGAGTTTGCCGACCCTTGGCCTAAAAGCAGAGGTCCAGTGTTCGCTAAGTCCGTGTTTGTCAGAGTCTGTAGAACATAGCTGCACACGTGTATCTTGTTTGAGGTTGAGGGCACACTGATTCGCCTGTCCCTTTTACCTGCCACAGTGCCTGCACTGCAGGAGGATGAGCAGCCACCTCCACTGGCCCCGGCCCAGCTGTGCCCACAGGGGCTGTGGGGCAGGGGCACGGCGCCTGGGCAGCAAGGCCCCCAAGGTTCAAGGGAACCTCGGTCAGGTCACTGCACTCCTGGGCCTCCATCTGCTGCCAGGAAAACGTGGGGAGGGTTCGGCTGGCCCGGGGATCTGGGCTCAGCCCCACCCCGCAGCCCCTCGCCCCCAGTCGCCCTCCTGCAGGACTCGGACGAGAAGGAAACCCAGACATCAGGGCCTTGGAAACCACACAGGCCCGCGGCCGCGGTTGTGTAAGAAGGGGTTTTCAGCGGAGGCCGCAGACAGCCTGTAGTCGGTGCTTCCTCATTCCCAGGGGAGGTCCCGCCGCTCTGGGCGGAGGTGGGGTGGTGAGGAAGCGGGACAGTGGGCAGAGAGGACAGGCCGGGGCTGGGACGACGTGAGAGACGCTGCCCGGCTCCCTCCCCGCAGACCTCCGGCCTGCCTCCACTCTGCGAGGGCCGGACCCGGCGTCTGGGCTTCTTCCTCGTGGATTCATTCAGAAAGCACAGATTTTTCCGCCGCGCTCAGCGCCGGGCGCACCGCGCTCGGTGAACAAGACAGGCGTGGCCTCTGCTCTCACGAAACGTGGAGCCTCGCGGAAAGCGGACCCTCAGGCGGTTGCAGGAAAGGGTGCTTGTCCGTGTGATGGGGAAGTGGGTGCCCGGGAGACACGCAGCAATGTTGGAGGGGAGGGAGCAGTCCGGGAGGGCTTCCTGGAGGAAGCAGCATCTAAGCGGTGCCCTCTTCGTAGACTTGTGGGACGCCCCACATTCTGATTATTTCTTTCTGGGGCCATTTAGTCCATTCCTCTACCTCCTTTACTTCCAATCAGTTGGAACTTTAAGTCAAGAGGCTCAAGATGCAGGTTAAATGTTTGGTTGACAACATTTGCCAGGAGACTGTGTGTATTTCTGTCTCTGTGAACCTGGCCGGCCTGGGTACTTCCTGTAAGTGGAATCACACCGTATTTTTGTCTCTTGGAGACGAGCCTGTTGCCCTTAGCGCAGTGCCCTCGGGGCATAGCATGTGTCAGCATCTCCTTCTTTTTCTGAGACGGAGTCGTGTTCCCTTGCATGGATGTGCCGCACTGTGCGTTCTCATCCCTCCGTCCCTGGACACCAGTCTGTCCCACCCTTTGGCGTGAAGAAGCCTGCGTCCCATTTCCGAACGCCGGGCCCCCGAATGTCACCGTGGGTGGGGCTGTTATCTGAAAGCCGGGCCCCGGTGTTATTCGGTGGCTTTGGCTACAAGTGACAGGCACGGACTCCGATTGCAGGAAAGGGGAGGTGCCGGCTTGCGTTGTGACGTGTCCAGGATGCTGGGCCGGGGCTCCCAGGAGGCCTCAGTTCTCTGCCCCTCTGTCCCTCTCACCCTGCTTGCTTCTGGGTGCAGGTGCCTCCCACACGGTAACCCCTGGGGGGCGTTCTCCTCCCGGCAGCCGTTGCCTGGGGGAAGGGGTCTCTGCCCTGATCGCGCCGTCCGAAGTCCCAGAGTGGAGTCCCCTCGGCCCCCCCTGAGCCATCGCGTGGCCGGCTGCAGGCAGTGCTCTGGTGGGCCAGCCCGGGGACCCGCCCCCACCCCCCTCTGGCAAAGATGGGAAGAGGGAGAGGGGTGGCCCCCAGGAAACAGGGGCTGTTAGCAGCAGAAGGGGGAGGGGACCGGGTGAGCCGGAACAACGGCTGCAGGGCCCCACGGACGCGAGCCACGGCGGTGAATCAGGGAGGTCACTGCCCCGTTTCAGAGAAAGGGGCGGCGCGGCCAGAGCGCTCGGCGCCCTGTGAGCCACCCAGCGGTGGAGCGGGCGTTGGCACCGGTGAGCGTGCTCCTCGCCCGGCCCCCACACGCCCGGCAGAGCCAGAGCCTGGTGGGGGCAGTTCTCGGTAAAACGGTTAGGCCTGGGCCTCCGAATGCCGACCGTGCACGCCTGCTCAGAGGCTGGCTCCGGGAAACCCGTTAGGCCCGTGCAGAGCCCTGCGCTGCGCATTGCGTGCGGGGCTTGAACTTTGCAAACAGGGATCAGGAATGAACGGTGTAAGCAGATTTCCCCCTGTTTATGAGTGTGTGTGCTTTTTATTGGTTTTGAGAAAAACATAAAAACCTTTGATGACATTTTCTCTCTTTTTCCCCCTTGTTTTTTAATATGTGTTTTTTAAATCCTTACCCGAGGATATGTTTTCATTGATTTAAAGGAAAAAGAAAGGGGGTAGGAGGGGAGGGGGGGAGAGACACAGAGAGAGAGAGAGAGAGAGAAAGACACCCCCATGGGTGCCTCTCATATATGCCCCAACCTAGGATTGAACCCACAACCTTTTTACTGTACAGGACGAATCCACATGGGCTTTGTTCTTGGCAGCAGGTCATCCAAACTTGGCCTAAACATCCCCTAGAGACGGCAGCTTTTGAAATGCTGGTCTCTGGGCTGCTCTCTGGAGAGCTGGGACTGAAGTCCAGGGCTGACCCCACGGGCTCTGCCTGGCCTGGCCCAGGCCACCTGCTCCCTCTTCCCCGGCTCCCCATGGGTTCGGACTCGCACCACCTCCGCATCTGAGACACTATCCGCCCGGCGGGGACGGGGCTCCCGGGGGAGAGACACGGTGCTCTGCGGGGGAGAGAAATTAATCCGTACCGGGCAAAAAACGACATACCACTGCACACACGTTATTTATCTCCACTCGTGTGTGTCGTCTTTCCAGCTGACCCTCGGCTCATGGAGGGCCAGGGCCCACTGTGTACCCCCCGGACCTCTGACAACACGGGACCCCTCCTTTTCAAGCAGCATTTCTCTGTCTCCAAAGAGCTTTCACAGAGATACATGCTTTGTAATGGCCAGAACAGCCCTATAACCACGGATAACTTGTGTGAACCGGAGCGGGGTGATGGGTGCTGACTCCTTAGCCCGGGAGTGTCCGGGCCACCAGAGTCCCCAGCCAGGTGCCTCTGGCCTCCTGCCGCCACTTCGCTTTGGACTTCAATCAGGACCAACGTTTTAAAAATGACTCTGATAGCCAAAGCCGGTTTGGCTCAGTGGTAGAGCGTCGGTCTACGGACTGAAAGGTCCCAGGTTCGATTCCGGTCAGGGGCATGTACATTGGTTGCGGGCACATCCCTGGTAGGGGGTGTGCAAGAGGCAGCTGGTCGATGTTTCTCTCTCATCAACATTTCTAGCTCTCTATCGCTCTCCCTTCCACTCTGTAAAAAATCAATAAAATATATATATTTTTTAATGACTCTGATAACCCTGCTGGCATGGCTCCGTGGTTGAATGTCAGCCTATGAACCAGAAGGTCTGGGTTCAATTCCCAGTCAGGTCACATGCCTGGGCTGCAAGCTCGGTCCCCAGTCGGGGCGTGCAGGAGGCAGCCCATCAAGGATTCTCTTTCATCTTTGATGTTTCTCTCCCTCTCCCTCTCCCTCTCCCTTCCTCTCTCTCTAAAAATCAATAAAACATATATTTTAAAAAAGAAAAAAGAATGACTGACAAAAAGAGCCTGCCCCGCGGCTCTCTGAATCGAGTGGGGAGCAAGACACCCTTGCGCTGCCGACAATAACAGCACCTCCTGCTCCGAGCAGGATGCTGACGCCTTCCCACGCTCGGTTTCCCTGAACTCTGTGCACAACGCTCTGGTGGAGGTCATCCTACCCATTTCGTTGAGGAGGAAGCTGAGGCTCAGAGAGAACGAGTAGCCTGTTCCAAGTCATACAGCCGGTCGGTGGCGGAGCTGAGATTCAAACCCGGGTCTTTCTCACTCTGAACCTCGTGCTTGGCCCCCGAGGCCCCGTGGTGCTAACGCCTGTCTCCCTGCTCCCCTGCAGGTCTACATCATCCGGGTCACCTGGTCCAGCGGCTCCACCGAGGCCATCTACCGGCGCTACAGCAAGTTCTTCGACCTCCAGGTAAGGACGCGGGGCTCCGGGAGCTGCGGGCACGAAGGACTTCCGTTGGACTTCCTTCCCGCATGGGTGTCAGAGCCCAGACCCTCGCACAGCAGGCGGACGGTGCTCCGTTTTCACCCCTAGAATTGAAAGCGCCGTCCGTGTGCCCGCTTCGGCGGCACACGCACTAAAATTAGCACAGTATGGAGAAGGGGAGCGTGGCTCCTGCACGGGGTGACATGCACACGTGTGGGCATTCCGCATTAAGGAGAGAAAAAAGGTGCCCGTCGCTTTGGGGACATACTGCTTTGTGCTGCGATCGTCCGTGTTTCCCAGATAAAGGAAAGGCTGTGTGTGGGCGGCTCCGGAGCGGAGCGTGACATTGGCGTGGCTTTGGCGTGCAGATGTTGAGCTTGTGTTTTCGTCAAGGACTCAGGTGTGTCCGGCCACCTTTGGTGAATGAATGAATGAATGAATGAGCTCACAGTCCCATAGGGCACCCGGCCAATGTGGACCGCTCGGCGTCAGCTCACCCCCATGGGGTCAAAGAACTAAAAGAACTGCAGCCTCCGGGACCGTCGCTTTATCTTGATGTCACCAAGGCCAGCAACTCAAAGGTGTCTGATGAGAAGTCACGGGGCCCAATATGACAAAATACAGTTCTTTATAGAAAACACAGGTCTCAAGAACCTACTGGGCTTCCCGAACCAGCAAGTCCTCCCTGCTGTGTGGTGAGGGACCCGTGCTGAGCTGTCTCCCTTTCCTCTGTGCCTGTCAGGATGCTTCCGCTGCAGGAAACCCCACTCACACGGGCTTCAGTCGGTGGGGAGTTGGGGGCTGGTGTAACTGCATGTCCCAGGAGAAGAAACCAGATGGGCTTCAGGCACTGCTTGATCCAGGCTTCTCCACTGTGCCCTTCCACCCAGCTCTTTCCTCTCATTCTGCATGTCTGCTTCCATCGAGACGGCTTCATCCTCAGCTCCCACGTGGTTGCAAAATGCTCTGGGCACACGATCAGCAGGAAAGAGAGGGAACGGTCACTTCCCAAAGTTCCAGGGAGCACGGGGTTGTGTCTCATAGGCTCAGCTGTAAGCCTGTCGAGATGGTGAAAGAATGTGATGACCAGTGGGGTGGTCGGGTTCCTGCCCTGCCCCCAGAGTCTGGGGCGGGACTGAGCTGGAGAGAACAGTTGTGATGTGTGTGAAGTAGGTGTTGTGGGGCCGGCAGGAGAGAGCCTTGTCCTCCACACACCAGCCTGTCTCCTGGGCTCCCCGTTCTCTGAGTGTTGGCTGATGCTCACCACGGGCATTCGTGGTCGTATGGACCTGATCTGTTCCTGAAAATGGCCAGCGGAACAGCCGGTGCTCATTCTTTCCGAGGGGAAGTTCTCCCGGCCTGTTTCCGTAGCTGCCGGCCTCACGTGTGAGCTATTGCGTCACCCGGGGCCTCGCTGCTGAACGTGGAATGAACATGAGGTTCTGTGTTCACCGTGCAGCAACGCCGAACGGGATCACACACAAGTTACACGTTTCTTCCGGTCCGCAGCGAGCATGCTCTGAATGTAAACAGACACGTGTGTGCCGGAGGGCCGGATTCCGTCCACAACGGGCTTGGCAGGAGCAGCCGGGGCAGGGAAGGAGAGGATGGCGGCGATGCCAGCGCCAGAAGCAGGAGGCACGTCCTGTGTGATGATGACCGAGACCCACACCCTCGCAGCCAGACCACGGAGTCTGTGCAGATCCATTGTGGCAGGCCTTCAGTTCAGAGAGTGTGAACTGAGTCCACATTTTGCAAGTTGCTGACTGGCTGCGGGTCTGTATTTGGCTTCCAGAGGCCTCTTGCCTGCGTGATGCTTCCAAGGAGGGACACGGGGCAGAGAACAGGGGCAGGCATGACGGCTCGCTCAGGGATCACTGACACCCACAGCGCAAGCATCCACTCAGCCAGCTCAGACGGGAAGAGAGGGGGCTATTGATGGCGAGAGGCAGGTGTGCCCAGGGAAACGGAGCAGCAAGCGCAGCCGCCCGCCGGGGCTCAGGACCATCAGCGGGGTGACCCTGCGCAGGCCCGGCGGGTCACTGTCCGCAGGATCTGCCGTCGAGCCTGCTTCCTCTCCCCAGCGACCTCTCCAGCCCAGCTTCCTCCCCTGCCTGTTGGCCCACGTCCCCCAGACGGCACCTTCGCCCCCGAGGGGAGGTGTCCTTCCCTGTCGCAGATGCTCTGGGGTTTCCAGGTGCCGATTCCGGCTCCCGGTTGAGAATCTGATGTCAGAGACCTGGTCCGTCCCCCTGACCTGTGGGCTGCAGAGGGAGCGTGGGGTTGTGGGTGCTCAGGGCTGGATGAGTAGAGGGGAGCAAAGGGGGGAGGCGGCCCCGGAACACCGGGAAAGGCAGGGGCTGAGGAGGTGGGCTGTCGTCAGCTCCCTGTCCCAGGACAGCCCCGGCTTCGGACCCTGACACCAGGGTTAGACAGATGGCTCCAGAGCTCAGCTTAGTGCCTCTAGGTTTCAGCTCGGGGACGCCGCTATATGTTTCCGAGCCTCAGTTTCCCCGTCTGCACACAGAGAACGAAAGCACTTTCTGCATGCATCAGGTATGACAGCTGTCCTCTGCTGTCCCTCCGCTCCGTCGGGACTTCCTGGGGGGACCCTGCCTGGGAAGGCCGGCCAGGGGCCAGGGTCGGAGCGCAGGCTCCCCCGGGGTGACTCAGCGCTCAGATTCCTACCAGGATTGAAAAGGGACGTTTTTCCGCCCGCTCAGTATGGTTGGTAATGATTGGGGGTTTGCTGTGGCCTAAGCAACGGCCTCAGACCGCCCTCCTGCAAGGAAGTCGTCAGAAGACAGCGCTTCGGCCTCCTCTAAGGAGTCCCGATGGGCAGCGGGACGGGAAGGCGTGGGATTCCGGAGGGTCCCCCTCCTGGCACCGCCACCGCCCCCGCCGCCCAGGGCGGGCAGCTGGAAGGCGTTAGGGCCGGAGCCAGCTGTTCCCAGGCCCCGGCGAAGGCCAGCCCGTGTGGGGCTGCAACACCCTCGATGATTTCACGATCCCACCCTCCCCGCCCCTCCCTCCTGGCTGGCCTCGGGGGTTTGTTTTTGTTTTCAGAAGAAACTTGGCTCTCACACACATCATCACTTCAAAAAATAAAAATAAAAAGCACGGGAGGGCCGAGCTTGCGGGAGGAACAGCTAATCCCGTGGGGTGTCATGGAAAAAGCCCGGAGACCTGGGGCCCAGCCCCCTGTGCTGTGTGGCCGTGGGCACGCCCCGTACCCCTCTGTGCCGGATGGCTCTGTCAGTGGCGTGGAACGATGAGAGCAGAAACAGCTGGCTTTCCAGCGCTCGGACGGCCAGCTCAGCATCCAGGAGCCGGGATTCACGTCATCCTCATATGGAGCTCATCACCGCGTGCCGAAGGAGAAACCCAGGCTGGGAAGGGGCATTGGGTGTGCCCGGGTCACACCGCCAGGGGCATCGGAGCTGGGATCGGAAGCTGGGCCGGCGACAGCACAGACCACAGTCCCAGCCGCTGTGCTGTCCGTGCCCCCGGCGGCTCCTTGGCCGGGTTCCTACGGAGTTAAAAGCGCTGATGTGTGTGGGGAAGAGGCGAACCCACAGAGACAGGGCCGATTAGTGGTTGCCAGGCGCTGGGAGGAGGGGGGAAGGGAGAGGCGGATGGCCACAGGGCTTCGCTCTGGCTGGAGGAAAATGTGCTGGAATTAGTAGGCGGGATGGTTGCACAACCTTCTGACGGTTCCAAAACCCACTGGAGTTTATACTTTACGAGGGTGCACTTTCTGGTGTGTGAAGTGTGTCTGAATTTTTATTTTATTTATTTATTTTTTTCCGAAGGGATGATGTGTGTGAGAGCGGTTTCTGGGGATTATCGGGAATTGGCAGGGTGTCGAGCGGGGGATGGTGCCAGGTCCATAGAGTGGGTAAGAGCTGGGCCTGGGTCCCAGTGCTGCCTCTTTCTGGCTGGGAGGTCTTGTTGTAGTCATGACTATTTTGGTCGCAGATGACAGAATCCCGGTGGAGATGGGTTCTTCACAAAGAACGTGGCTGAGCTACATCTACCTGAGAGGCCAAGGGGAGTTGGCATCAGGTCTGGCTGGATCTAGGGGCCGCCATCTGCTTTCCTTCACTTGACTGTCTTCATCTCCAGGCACGTGGTGGCCACGGGCCCACATGGTGTCCTTGAGTTCTGTTCGCCGCCTTCCGGGAAAAGAGAACCCCACAGTTTCAGCAAAAGCCTCGTGGATCCATTGTGGGTCCCTGGGCAGCCGGTCAGGGCCATCCAGGCACGAGTGAAATGAGCCTCCCGCCCATGTGTGTCACCAGCAGGAGTTCCCCGGAAGAAAGCAGACAACTGCTTCCAGGAAGGGCGAGTGGCGTGTGGGGAACAGAGAACAGTGACTGTGCCCTCTGGTGGGGGCAGGGCATTCGGGTAGAGGGAACCGTCTACAGGGAGGCGGTCTTGGGTAAGGAAGCTGTGGGGCTCAGGCTCCTTTGTGGGCACAGAGACTTAACACCAAACACCAGCGAAAATGTCCCCTTTAAGATGGTTCACTTTCTATACACACACACACACACACACACACACACATACATGTATCTATTTTATTGATTTTTTTTATAGAGAGGAAGGGAGAAGGATAGAGAGTCAGAAACATCAATCAGCTGCCTCCTGCACACCCCCTACTGGGGCTGTGCCCACAACCAAGGTACATGCCCTTGACCGGAATCGAACTTGGGATCCTTCTATCTACTGAGCCAAATAGGTTTTGGCAACAGTTCACTTTCTGATGTGACTTCCTGACTCGCTTGTCTTGGAGAATCTGGACCCCGGTCGGCCGCCGTCACTACTGGCTGGCATTGGCCATGCGTGTCATACACATGAGGGTGTAGCCAAAGAGCCCGGGCCTGGAAGGGAAGCCTGGTGTCAGGGCCCAGCCGGCGGTCTTCGCAGCCATGGCCTTGGGCAGGCCTCTCTGCCGCCCCCCTGTCTGCCCCCGCCTGGCTCCG